TTTAAGAAAAAGTTTCGTAATTATTGAGACAAAATGCTCCAAAAGGCAGATGCACAGTAGTTTATATTGTCTCAGTGATTAAGGGTTCCCAATGAATCCATTTGGTTTCTAAATGGGGGAAAAAATCAGCTAATATCTACAAGTATCCTGTAGATACCTTAATGTCTACAAGTGACACCTACAAGAAAACATAGAAGCTAGATCCTGCCTCCATAGCGCCATCAGCCCTATGCAAGAACTTCTGGGGAGCGGTGCTGGTGCTTGGGGACAAGACAGAACAACAATGAAAAACTTCCCAAGGAACTGGAATTCAGAGCTCAAAATCCAAATTAGCTAAGGATAAAGTGTTAGCTATTCAGGACTAATCATGTTTACCTACACAGTAGAGCATTATTTAAACATTCTTTATACACATTTCAGGCTCCTGAATAATTTAATCTGTGATTTTCTTTTCTGTTTCATAAACACATGGATAAATAACATTACCGTATTCCACTCACCTAATATCACAGAAAATCTTCCCATGCTCTCTTACTCGCCATACTTTCCCTTTCCAATTTTTGGAGCATTGACCTAAATGTGTTAGAAAAATAGAATCAATTTAATAATCTATTAGAATGTTAATCTCTTTTCAAGTATATTTGAAAGATACGATCCCTTTCGTGGAGGCACAGTGTAGATTTATACATATCAATATTTAAATTATTTTTAGTTCCAAGGACTAAAGTATAAATGTAAAGCTTAGGTGCAGCTTATGAGTGTGACAGTATAAAACTTAAATAGATCTAGAATTGGTGTGGCTGATGAGTCAGGGGACCATGGGGTCTAAATCTGAAATGTTCACTGATTTAAAGTCATTTAAATTAGGCTGTGCAGTGTGGTTGCACAATTTATTAAAAGGACATTTTAATCTTCTTGGTGCTTCAAAAATAATAAAATTGTATATCGAATTCAGGATTCAGAAGAAAATAGCAGAGTTCAAAATTATAAACCTATTTTTAACTTTAACTATTTTCACATTGCATTATAGATACTTAGATATTTTGTTATTAGAAATGAGGTATAAAGACAAGGACAAAAATCTATCTTTGTGTTTCCAGCACTTGCCAAAGAGCTTTACACCTACTCTGGGTTCAGTGAACGTTTATAGAAGAGATCAGTGAATGAGCTAGAGGGATTTCCTCAAGCACATGCAATTTTTTTTTTTTTTTGGTTGTTTGTTCCATTCACTGTACATTATCTATATGTTGCACCGTGTGTGTGTGTGTGTGTGTGTGTGTGTGTGTGTGTGTGTGTGTGTTGTGTTTTTGACTATACTGCCTTGCAGAACAGGAGCTCTTTAAAGATAATCTTTAGGGTAGACAGAATAATAGCCTCTCAGAGATGTCCAGCCTGAATCCCTGGTACCTATGAATATGTTACCTTACATGGCAAAAGGAACTTTGCAGATCCAATTAAATGAAAGACCTTGAGACAGGAGATTATCTTGGATTATTTGGGTGGGCCCGGTACAATCACAAGGGTCCTTAAAAGCTGAAAAGGGAGGCAGAAGAGGAAGTGAAAGTGAGGCCATGAGGATTCCATCCACCATTGCTGACTTTAAAGATGGAGGAGGGGGTCACAGCAAAGGAGTAGAGACAGCCTGTAGGTGCTAGAAAAGCAAGAAAATTGAGCCTGTAGAGAGAAATGCAACCCTGATGACACCTTGATTTTGGCCCAGCAAGACCCATGTCAGATTGTCAAACTATAAGGCAAATAAATGATAGATAGATGATAGATAGATAGATAGATAGATGATAGGTAGATTTTAAGCCACTAAGTTTGTAGTAATTTGTTACAGCAACAATAAAAAACGAATAGTCTCTGACAACACCTTTTTCTCATCACTTCCTCCTTATTTTATGTGTGTTCACGCCTCCATTCCATGCTGGAACAGGACAACATTAATCAGGATTCTTCTGTTTGCAAATCACAGAAAGCTAACACACACTCAAGCAAAAAAAGGAGGGGTGATGGTATATCTCCCATAAGTGGGACCTCCAAGGGATTGAGTTGGCTTCACTCCCAGCTAAGACAAGGCCCAAATCAGTCCACAAAGGCTCTTGGTCTCTCTGATCTGCTTTCCTCTATATGCAACCTTCAGCATTTCTACAATTCACATGCTTTTAGTGGCAAAACTGCCCTCTTTCTTTCAGGAAAGGATTCTAATTTGCCCATCTCTGTAGCGTAGGAGGTTGAAAGTGTGCTATGGTTATCCATTGCTACACTTAAAAATGCCCCAAGACTTACTGGCTTAAAATACAACATTTATTTACTCATGATTCTGCAATTTGGGCAAAGTCTGTGGAAGGCAGCTCATTTCTGATCTGTGTGAAACCAGCTTGAGGCAGCTCATTTGGGGCTCAAGGATCTACTTCCAAAATGGCTTCACTCATGCAAGCTGGTGCTGGCTGTTGGCTGGATGCTCAGCTGGGGTTGTTGTCTGGAAAACACAGTTCCCCTTCATGTGGCTGCTCCACATGGCTAGGTTGGGCGTCTCACAGGATGGCAGTTTTAGAATAGTTGGTCTTTGTACATAGCAATGGGGTTTTCCCCCAAGCACAAGGTGGAAGCTTCTAGGCCTTCTTAAGTTTTGGCCCCAATAGACACAAGGTCACTTGCACTACATTCTGTTAATTAAAGCAGATCACAGGGCCCAGTCCAGATTTGAAAAGAGGAGACTACATACACAAGATCATGAATTCCATTGTTGTGGCTGGTTGGGGCCATCAGAGTAGCAGTCTACCACAGTGGATAACAGAGCTTTGTGAGTGATGGTCCAAGTAAGACCGTCCGTTTCCAAAAAAATGGTACAGGCAGTCCCACAAAGGAAACAGGACTGAAAACAAACCTCAGGTATCCATAACAATCATTTCCCTCAGTGCTAGAAAGTATTCCATGAAGCAAAGCTGAATTTCCCTCTACGTCTATTGACTATACAGCTTGTACATTTCCTGGAGTTGGAGACGTGATTAAAAATTTAAAGTTAAGGAATTAACGAACTTTTTTCCCATTTGACTTTTCTTAAACTATGAATGAAAATAATGATATCATAGAGAAAACACTACTAAAAAGAAATTAAATTGTGCAGGATTCATGAATAAACTATAATGTAGGCTAATCCAATGATGTTTATTTGCAATAACCTTTTTAATGTGACAATTCCTTGGATATTGTAGTAAAATATTTTCACCCTACACGTATATTTTTATGTTTTGTGTTTATTTTCCACAGTATAGATCCCAAAATGTCAAATTGCTAGAGCTGATTTATGGTAATTAGTTTCAAGTTAGAATATTTGAAATGCATTTAATTAATTTTAGCTGTTTAGCAAAGTACAATAAGGTTTTTCGCATTAACAAAGTTTTCTTTATAATATATCAACTATGCATATGTTTAATGATATGATGGACTCAGATTACTCTTATTTGAATTTTATATTTAACAAATAAACATGCACTATTGGGGATTAGACAGTGTTTAGAAAATGTATGTATAAGGATTATTTAGGATGAAATTGCCAAAGATCCTGGAATATTTAGCACACACTTGTTGATTGATGTCACTGCGGTAAATATGAAACGATAACAACTATATAAATTATTCAGAGACTAGTCATCCACATCGGGATTCTTTAGAGATCACTTCAGAAAACAGTTTGGCAGGGCATTCTTTTTATAGTTTTTTGTTTTTTTTTTTTTGAAAATCCATGTACAAAAGAGATATAGATCCATACAAAATGGATAAATACTGATGCTTTAAAAATGAAATTAAATATTTTTAAACATTCAAGTGAAAATTGCATGGTTTTTCCTACTAAAGCTCTCTTTCATAATTTATTTATTTCAGTATTATTTTTGTCTTTCAGGAAGCCTTATATAGTGAACGTAAGAGATTTATTAAAAACCTTCAATCGCTTGAGAGTGCTTTAGTACTTTGCCTCAAAATCTGCACATAGGCAAAATTCCTGATATTATGAGTTGGGATTTTCAGTGTAAGAGGATTTAAAATCTCTGCTAAAGCACGGGCTTGTTAGCTGTTTCTAAGCGTCATATATCAGAGGGACCCAGCTACTTACCAATCGCTCAAACTAAAATGGGGCAGGACAGGACACGTGGAATGAAAGAGACCAATTTAGACCAAGTGGAAGGTATCAAGTTCTCTGAAAATGGCCCTTTTATTCTGGAAAGATACTTTATTCAACTCCAGAAGCGGAGAGAGTAATCAGCACTTACATAGGTATGGATCTCTTTGTACATACAGATACGGATCACTTTTTAAAGATTTCCCTTCATTAAAGCAATTTGAGACATAGTGTTGGAAAGTGTTTTAGTGGTTGGGTGTTTGCAGATTTGAAGTTAGAGACCCCAGTTATCTACTTATAAATCATGTGACTTTGAAACATTCCTAAAACCTTTTTCTTTTGTAATAACCTTTTTTGGGTCTCAGTCCCCGATTCTCTTGGGGTTGTGCTAAAGATCCAATGAGTGAAGGCCAAAATACTTCCCATACCGCAAAGCATTACCTTATCAAAATTTAGATCACTATGACTACTACTACCAATAATAAAACATGATTGGGTAACTGGTCTGCAAACAATCCATTGAAAAATCCAGGTGAATTGGATATGTTTTATTTTTTGAAAATATTTTAACTTAGAGAATACACATGAGGTCCAAAGTAGTCAGTACATTTGCCCCCCTTATGTTTAAAGTATTAGCTCTTACATTACTGACTTTAGATGGACACTGAATCTGGAAAGATGACTGTATAAATTTTTCCTGAATATTAGGGACTTTATTTTATTAACTGTAACCCAGAAGGAACATGGTGGGTAATAAAGAGAAATTTGCCTCCTAGTATGATTTGTATCCAGTTGGAAGTCTGGCAATGGTGTGGGGCATATGAGACCATCTGGATATTTTTGTTAATGGTTTATTTCTCTGTTGTTTCTCTCCCAGCTATCGGCAGGACCCTCATCCCCCGTTACTTTAGCACTGTGTTTGAAGGAGGAGTGACTGACCTGTATTACATTCTCAAACACTCAAAAGAATCCTACCACAACTCATCCATCACAGTGGACTGCGACCAGTGTGCAATGGTCACCCAGCACGGGAAGCCCATGTTTACCAAGGTACAGGGCGGGCTCGGCAACAAGCCTTGTTCTTCTTTGGGTGCATTGAAGCATAGTAAATATGGTTGTCTTCTGGAACTTTAACCTGACTTCTCACATCTCAGACGCTTTCAGCACTGTGAGGTCATCTTTTTTGTTCGTAACATGGCAAGACCCTATGGTGAACCCTGTTCTAAGGTGTGTGCATGTGATACAGATCCCAGGGAAGTCAAACATGATAGACCCTCAAGACTAAGAGAAGAGAGTTTTGGCTGCCTATTAAACTTAGGCTGCTAAATTAGAATTCTGGTGTTTTTTAAAAAATTGAGATGTAATTGACATTTAACAGTGTATTAGTTTTAAGTATATGAAATAATGATTCGATATATGTATATATTGTGAGATGATTACTACAATAAGTTTAGTTAACATCCATCACTACACATAGTTACAGTTCTTGTGGTGAAGACTTTTAAGATCCACTCTCTTAGTATCTTTCAAATATATAATACTTGAAAGATACTAGGTATTGTTCACTATAGCCCATGATGTTGTATATTACATAGAATTTTGGTTTTTATACAAAGGGTCTTCAACAACTAAAAGAACACTCTTCTATTACTGTGCAGTCAGTATTTGTGTTTTGTTACTAAAATTAAACAATTTTTAAAGCTAAATTCAAATATCAACAAGCAGGGGAAAAAAATCAACAAACCACAGCTCAACTAGCCATAATCTTTAAGGAACACAAAAACATAAAGATGTAAATGGAACACTATAGACAATCCCTTTATATCTTCTCCCAAGGAGAAAAATTAGTAAGAATAAATATTTAGTCAAAGAATCTGGCGAACGGAAGTTTATTTTAATGAACACTAGTTCATTGCATTTTGACTAAGATTCAATGTGAAACTAATTTGTAATATCTACGATAGCAGCTATCTCTTTTAGTTGAAACACAAATGACAACCCTCTCTTTATAGTTAAGAGAAGTTGGATTATCAGGGTTAATTGCAGAAGCCCAATTATAAAACTGAAGATGTGTTTGTTACTTATGCACCATTTTGCAGAAAGAGTAGCTATAAAATGTTTATTATTTAAAGTATTCTTTGATTTTGGTGTGATTTAACCTTTCCGGTGCCCACGAGGGAGTAAAAAACCAAAGGAAATGCTTATAAAATGCTTATAAGCAAAGGAAATGCTTATAAAATGCAAAAGCAAATCATTAAATGCTATTGAGTTTATGGTATCTTGATTTTTGTCAATAGACATTTTAAATGTGGAAGAGGAGATGGGTTTTTCCCTTTCTTCCTTTTTAACAGTTGAGCAGAGAGGAAAGTTCCCACTGCATGTGAAAGTCCATGCTGGAAAGAGCGTTTTGCTGTGTGGAAAGGAATGATCACCTAGATGATGGTTTAGTCTGTGGCTCACCTGTTTTCGGAGATACAAAACATCTACATCACCTTGTGGATACCTGAGCCATTTCTAGCATTACAAAGCCTGAGCACTGCAGAGAAAGCCTTTTTTTCTGTTGCTTCATTATCGTTTGTGTAGGCTTATTGTTACTTTTAGGTCATTCAAGAAAAACACACCAATTCCTTACGCTTTCAGGGAAAAAAGAAATCCGTGATATGTAAATAAAACTTTCCCATAATGAAGGAGCTACTTCCAAAGCCTATAGCGGCCGAAAATAAAAATGCATGTTGAAATAGCGCTTTCATCTATTTCCTCAATTTCTTTCTTTCTCAGACCAAAACTTTTTCAGAAATGAGCACCGTCAGTTGTTCCGAAGATACAGTGCTGTACATTCTGGACTGGTTTTAAATCAAAAAGAATCCAGTTCTTTGGATGACTTGATAAAGTGCTTTTTTCATTCAAATTAAGAAACTAAGGCTTTCCTCTGTTGCATTCTCCCCTATCCTGGAGCACTCCCCTCTCAGATGGTACTCACCTCCCAGACAGGACAATCTCCTGAATCTCCCAGACAGGACAAACTCCTGAATCTCTCTTGGTCTCAAGCTTTAATTATTTAGATCACCCATCTGACTCTACTCCACAGCAATACATTTGCCAACTCTTGTAATGAATATTTCTATACTGTGGTGAAAAATATCCCTTTCTGGGAAATGTAGCTTAGCTGTGTGGACTTCATCCAGATGCTAATTATGCACATTTATTTTTAGAAAATTCCAAAGCATTCATTTTTTTTTCTTTCTTTCTTTTTTTTGCTCCTTGGTGATTATTATACTAGCCAAAGAATCTTTCCAATTTTTCTTTTGTTCTTATATTAATTAAAAATAAGTCATCTTTATGTAATAAAATAATATGGCTATCTAGTAGAAAACAAGGGGCTAATGACATTTCAGTATCACAAAGTAAAATAGTTTGGAATTTTTTAAAGGGGAGCCTGCTATTAGTACATGGCATCACTTAGCACATTATGTGAGGCACTATCACATTGTTCTGATTTAGAATATCAATAAACTCTAATTCTCCAAATAGCATTTGACCCAGCATTTCTTAGTTGCTTTTATGAAAATGTGGTCAACTGGTGAATCAAAAATCAGCTGCAGTCCTAATCAACAGTAATATTTAATATTCCTCAGGACCATAGTGCATGTTTTGCAATTTCCTGATCCTAGGAACATTATAGATTATGGATAAATATGTAATTAGAGTTTTTAAACACACATTATGAAGGCTTTCTTTTCTGTATTCAATTTCGAATCAAACTGGAAACAAGGCTTACTAATCAGAAGAGCAGTCACCAAGGTTTTCAGAGTCAAAGACCCCTTGAATTGTATTTGAGGGTGTGAATTCTGGCAGATAGTGGAAAAAACTCCTCTCTGGGGTACATATTGGGTTATTTTGGGGGCTCACAAACTGGAACCATAATTACAGCCTTTAGTGGACACCTTATCACTTCTGTAAACATAGGTTTATGTTTTTTTCTGATCTCAATTATTTATTATGAAATTATTTACTACTGCAGAAAAGTACCATGGAAATACCAACCAGTTTTCCAATATGAATCTTCATTCATGTCTTTGACAGTTAGTTCATCATTCTTACCTTAGCCTGTACACCATGTTACCGTGTTATACTCCAGGATTTATACATTTATGCTCTTATCCTGACTCTAACCAAATTACTATAATATCAATGATTGTATTGCTCTAATAAATGTGTATATATGTATGTATTGACATATGCATTTACATATGCAGCATCTCAAAGTAAAACACAATGAGCTTTTTGCAATGGTTAATCTAAAAGCACTAGTCCATGCATGCTGTTCAAAGCATAAAGGCCAAGGAAATTAAATGAACATCCCCACCTAAAAAGTACATTGTATTTCATAAAAGCTACATGAGAATCATTTTGTTATACAACTACATGGTCAGTATTGCTTTACAATTAGTCAAAGAAAGAAAAGGGTTAAAAAGCTACCGGTTAGTTTGAGAAATGTTCTTTTTTAGTTCTCTTGTTCCTGGCCTAGTCTCAAGCTAGCACGTGATCCGCTGAACGCCTGCCAGCCTCTTTCTTGTTGATCCTCCAGAGACCATCTGTGCTGGGGGCATTGATTAGAGTGTGTCTGCTGGGATTACATCTTTTCTGTTGCCATGCCAACTAATCAGCTGATTTTGGTTACCACAGAAACAAAATGTCAGAGCTCACAGTACAGTAACATGAATTCAGCACAACAGAAAATGTTTTCTTAATTGGGGACCCTTTTGATTTTGGATTCCAAGTGAAAGGCAGCTTTTTTTAAAAAAAGGCCAACTTTAGATAAAAGCTACATTAATTGTATTGATTACAAGGAATGCACAGAATTTTTCTGAAAAGAGAAAACATTAATTCGCCTTCATAAGTTATGCCCATTTTTTTTTTTTTTTTACAATTTCCAAACATTAATTGTATTGATTACAAGGAATGCACAGAATTTTTCTGAAAAGAGAAAACATTAATTCGCCTTCATAAGTTATTCCCATTTTTTTTTTTTTTTTACAATTTCCAAACAAGGAATATATACTTTTTTTTTTTTTCTTAAGTGCCTCTATCCCATTTGCTGGTTGTTGCATATAAAATAAACCACAAAGCCTTCAGTTTCCTTTAACCTCCATGATGGGGGCAGGGGTTGGAGAGACTGCATAGGGCTTGGGTGGAGGCTGTGGGTAGAATTACTTGGGGAAGATTAGCAGTGACCAAATTCTCTTCCATCTTTTCATTCAAGGAAGTCAGTCATTTAATTTCCCTTAAAGAAAACACCCAACACAATCAACTTAGATTCAATTCTCAGGATTCCTCTTTTGCACATGCTGTGCCTTGGATAAAGATGATTCCTTGGTTTTGGCTGAGAAAGGAGGAGTCCAAGGCTGTTGAGATGTTCCCTTTTGTAGGCCCATAGCAGTTTGGCTGCATGAAGAGTCCTCAGCTGGTTTGCTATGTCACAGTAAACAAAAAACACAGTTTAACTTGACCTTGGAGCTGCTCCAGTTGAGTAATTCATCAGACGAACTCCATCCAGGCCTTCCCTTTATGAAATTCTATTCCAGTAGAAGTAAACCGAAACCACTCTCTGCCTTGGGTTTATGGTTCATAAACACAAAACAAACAGATTAGATAATAAAAAAGGATGACATTTAACTGGGCTAATATTTGTTTAAACAGCCAATAATCCTCCCTCTTTAAAAGAAAAGGATTGTAGCATCCAGATATCCCTTCCCTGTCCTGTATTGTCAATACATTTCTCTGTCAATGTCTGGCTGCAGTCACCTCCCCTTTGTGAAAGCCTCCACTGCAGGTGGCTTCTGTCATGTTAACACTCCAGGGGGAATTGCGTGTCTTAATCTCCATGCAACTCTTTTGAAAACCTTGTTAAATTAATTCTGATGCTGATGAGGCTCTAGAGGAGTGAGGTGGGGACGCTGAAGTCTTCCCCAATTTCACTGTGCTTGACTCTCACGGCAAAGTTGCCAAAAATGAGGCTCCGAAGAACGCTCAGCCAAGGACTTTTGGGGCAAAGAGGCCAATGCCTGAAATTACCCACAGATTCTGCTAATTGCCTCTGAGTTAGAGGTCTTCACCCAGATTATCAATAATTATCTGACAGTGCTTCTGAGACCTTTGATAAAATGAAGATGGCAGACGTTATTAGCATCTTTCTTAAGTGGTGCCCTATCAACACATTACTAATTCTCCTGCACTGGTATTTCACTTGTTTAAAGAAAATATTACCTTAAATTAGAGAGAATAGAAATCACCTAACCCAGTGCCTAGGACATAGTTGGAACTCAATAAATGGTGGCTTTTTGTATTAAATTCCCAAAGAAGGAAGTGATTATTAATATTTCATAAAAGGTTGATATAAATTGCTAATTATCTTCATGGACTATAGTTTTAGAAATGATCATATTCCCTGTTCAGTTGATTGCTTTTTTTTTTTTTAATGTGTAGTGCAATGATTTCCAAAGTTTTGTTCTTTTCTCAGTCTAAGAAATCTTTCTTCGAAAAGGCTTGATCAGAAGTCCAATATTTAAAACAGATAAAACTGAAGCTGTTCTGGTTGAGTCTAGAAAGTGAGTGGGAATCTCAGCATCCAGGTGGAGGCTAAGCTTTTCCCAGCAAAGCCCCTGAGACACTGCTCAAACCCCCCCCAGGTCTCAGATAAGACATTATAACAACCCCTGGTCTAGGGTTCTGTGTTCTTTGGTTACATGTCTTTCATCTTTAAACTATCGTTTACTGACAGGTACAATACTAGGCAATCTATATACACAACTTCATTTAATATACTTTCCCAACAGTCCTACCTAAGGATATTATTATCCTCATTTTACAGATGAGGAAACTGAAATTTAAGGAATTTATTTGCTTTTCCCAAAGTTGCAAAATAAGTGGAAAATAGAGTCAGGATTTGGATTTAGGACTTTCTGATGCCAAAGCCTCCATCCATTATTTTCTACTGCTTCTCTAAGGCAAACATGGACTGAATAATGAGCTGTAATTGTTTAACTACAACTGAACCAATATTATGCCTCCACTTTCTATCTTATATAGTTGAGATAGAATGAGTGCCATGAGACTACCCAGCATTTTCTTTCATTTCAAAGTCATTAACAGTGAAAAGAAAGGCAAATAAAATAAGAACTACATGCCAAAAATCATCTGACTTTCAAAAGAAGATAAAAATGCTACCCTGTCTCTGATCACTTTATCAAGGGGTTTCTGAGCCTCAGAAACTCTGTCTCATTAATAATATATATTTTTCTTAAATTAATTTGGCTCCCCCAAAGCCTGGCCCTTTACGCAAGCAGAATTTGTCATGGCTGATAGGATGTGATTCAAGGAGTATATTCTAAATGTGCCTCTATTTTCCACGTGTCACTAACTAATACCCACAGCCTTGGGTTAAGCGTTGCCCTCTGGCATTTCTCTTTGGAAATGAAAACTTTCTCTGGAGGGGCAACGTTGTAGAAACTCATACGTAAGCAGGAATACTTTTATTAGATACTTTCTCCCAGAGTAGCATAACCAAGATTAGAACAAGGTCAAACTCTTATGGTAGAAGCATAATGAAAGTGGAGAAAAAAGGAGGTGAAAGAGTAGCAATTTTGTGGGGGACACACTGTGTGCCAGGAGTTTTTGACATATCATTGCTATAAGATGGGTTTTGTCTGTATATTTACAAATGAAGAAATGGGGGCTCCTGGAGTTTCAGTAGTAACTAGTCGAGTTACCTTTAGCTCCTGGCTAGTGAGCAGCTGTGCTGTCTTTTGACCCCACTGATTCCAGAACTTACACCTGTCTTGGTTCTCCTTGGATACATCACCTGTGTCGCATTTCTGTCAAGATCCAGCACCGCCCAAGGGGAGTCAGGGAGAGACCACGCTGAGTGGCTGACCTGTGAGTTACAAAAATGTGGTGAGATCACAAAGCACCTAATCACCGAGTCCGTTGTTTGTTGCTTCCAGGTGTGTACAGAAGGCAGACTGATCTTGGAGTTCACCTTTGATGATCTCATGAGAATAAAAACATGGCACTTTACCATTAGACAATACAGAGAGTTAGTCCCAAGAAGCATTCTTGCCATGCATGTAAGTAAATTTCTATTTTCCTACCTTCCGTTCATCCCCTCATTTTACTCAAAAAGGAGAAGCCCCGCTTTCTCACCGTGAAAGAACTCCCAGAGTCTTCACACTTTAGGTAATTAACTCTAAATTATGAGTTTTTCCCCCAACCATTTTCACCCACAGGCCCCTTTCCCCCTCCTTTGTTTCTGAGTTTGGTGCATTGTGAGCCTTTTAAAAAATAATTTATTATTTTAAACTCCAAATTGAGGTTACCTCAATAAACAGTTTGTACTTTTCTTAAATTCCATGCAGTCATTATCAAGTACTGCTCTGCCTGGGCTAATAAACCTGTTATGTATAAATGGGCAAAGAAATAGAACAAAGAGTAAGAAAAACAGTTTCCAGTTTTGATTGGAACCATCCGACAAGACTTGGGGCTCACATACCTCAGATCCGTGTCCATGCCCTTCCTAACCACAGCGCTGGGAAGCAGCAGGACACCTGGGGTCCTCTTGGTTGCATTTGGCCATAAATCACATCAAATTTATTGAGCACAAATGAGGTACAAGGGTGGATTTGATGGCAATCTAGACAGATTTTTAAAGGTAAGACTTGGTAGGAACTCATCAGGTCAGTCCCTTAAGAAGGAGTCACATAGCATCAAATTAAATAAATCCCTCTTCCAGAATGCACGATGCAGCAGTTTCTGTGAAAATGCTGTGGAACAAAATCAGACTGAATGAGCCTGATTTTTAAGACCCTGTACAATGAAAAGAGAATACAGTCACAGTAGTGTGCGTTTACTGGGTGTTTGATATGCAGGGCCTGTGCTAAGCATTTTGGACACCTTATATTTAGTCCCTACAGTAACTCGAAGAGGTGAATTGTTACTACTCCTATTTTCAAAGTAAGGAAATGGAGGTTCAGATAGGTTTAATAAGTTGTCCAATGCTTTTCAGCCCAAAAGGGACAAATCAAGATTTCGATTCAGCAGGTTCTGACTCTAACACCCAGGCTGATAAGCTGTCTGTCTCCCCACTGTCCATACGCAGGCTGTCTCCCCAGGCTTTTGTCCTCAACACCCTCCTCCCATCTGGTTTGTCCAATCTCTACCCTTTCCATCGACCCTGTGCTTTCTGCTGTACACTTGAGTGCTGTACACTTGAGTGCTACATTCTTTTTGCCCATCCATGCCCAAGTCCTCCTCAATTTTCAAAGCCCAGTTCACATTCTCCTCTCTCCTTGAAGCAGTCTGGAATAGCCATTCTTATTAGTCTCAAAATAGACGGAGAAGCAGCAGCGTAGAGTAGTGGTCAGGAGCCTGGGCCTGAGAACACACGGGTTTGAATCCCTGTTCCTGTGTGACCTTGGGCAAGTGGCATGACATCTCTGTTCTTCCAGTCCCTCATCTATAAAATGGGTGTAGTAATAGAGCCTGCCTCAGAGGACTGGTCTGAAAATTAAGAGTTAATGCACATAAGCACTTAGGCCAGTGTCTGGCACACAGTAGGACCTCTGCGAGTATTGGTGATTGGCTATCAGCAACAATGGCCATGACGAAAGCAAAAATATCCTTCCATGGGTTTATTATCGTCCTGTCTTCCAACTGCAATGTGAGCTCCTTGAGGTCGACCACAACTATTTGATGCGTAGCTACAGAACCAGCTCTTCCTGGAACCTGGAAAGGCTTCAGTAAACACCAGTTCCATGTCCACAAAGGATCCCCTTTCCAGAAACTGACATGAAAAGTGACAAGCTCTGACTGTTTCTCCTGCATTTTATTTATATACACAAAGCCAGTTGGTTGTATCACTGTGAGGAAAATTTAAGTAAAAAAAAAAAGAATAAATTAAGGTGTTGGTATAACCTAGCTGGTCTCATGAATGCAGATGTGGAGACAAAGGGATGTTTACTTAAGACTTCCTCTGTTTAGCAACAGTTTGTATCAATTAAAAAAGAAGAAAAGACAAACAGAAAGAAAGAGCATCAACTAAGAGACACTTTACACTGGAATCCAGAAAGAATTTTCATTTTTTTCTGGCCAAACTGAACATTGGGGGTGGCCCACAAAACATTACATCTTTTTTTTCTGTGGCTGATACTTTGGAAAATATTATGCATACCCTTGCAGTCCTGCAGGATGAAAATTGTTGAAGACGTGTATTTCTAGCCTCCACTTAATGGCGAGGAGAGCTAGAATTTTTTAATATATGTGTATATTTCATGGCAGTTGCAAAGTTTTCACATTTAGTCCTCAGCTCCAAGCTGTTGAAAACAACACTGTCACAACATGCAGCAAGGGCCAGTCCTAAAGCATCGCTCTGCCAAGTCCAGACCACACCTTCCCTCGGGGCAGGGGGGCAGCAGTGCCAGGGACCTTGGAGGTGTCCTGGCTGGACTTAATGACCCTCCTTCTGAAGACACAGGGCCTCTCACAGAGGAAGTAAAGTCATTTCTCCCATCTGACTCAGTTTGATTCTCCCCGGCAATGGGTCTTGCAGCACTGATCCAAAAGTGTCCTTAAGTGTTATATGCAAGTGTCTTCAAAATGTGAATTAAATTATCTCCAGCAGCCTGCCCCTCTGAGAAAAATTGACAAAGTGCAGATTGTATTTCTTAGCAGCTGTAGCACAGTCGAGGACTTTGTTGGTACCATCTTACAGGGATAAAATATATGATTTTTTTCCTGTTTAGGCACAAGATCCTCAGGTCCTGGATCAGCTGTCCAAAAACATCACCAGGATGGGGCTAACAAATTTCACCCTCAACTACCTCAGGGTAAGACCAATGGGTTGATTATATTTCCTGTTGAGTTTGAATCTAGAGGTTTATATATATATCTTGAGCCAAGGAATTAAAATGAGGTAATATAGCACAATATGTATATCTTTTTAAATTTATTTTATTCAAGTATAGTTGATTTACAGTGTTGTGTTAATTTCTACTATACAGCAAAGTGATTCAGTTATACATATATATGCATTCTTTTTCATATTCTTTGCCATTATGGTTTATCACAGGATATTGAATATAGTTCCCTGTGTTATACAGTAGGACCTTGTTGTTTATCCATCCTGTATATAATAGCTTGGATCTGCTAATCCCAAACTCCCACTCCACCCCTCCCCCACCCTTGGTAACCACAAGTCTGTTCTCTATGTCTGTGAGTCTGTTTCTGTTTCGTAGAAACAGAAAATTCATTTATGTCATAGTTTAGATTTCACATATAAGTGATATCATATGGTATTTGTCTTTTTCTGACTTACTTCACTTAGTATGATAATCTCTAGTTCATTCTTTTTTATGGCTGAGTAATATTCCATTGCATGCGTGTGCCACCTCAACATTTGCAAATGTTGATGGACATTTAGGTTGTTTCCTTGTCTTGACAATTGTGAATAGTAGCACAATATGTATGTCTTATACCACAGTGTGTGTGTGTGTGTGTGTGTGTGTGTGTGTGTGCACGCGCGTGCTTGTGATCAACAGATGATTGGGTTTAATTAACAAAAAGCATCAAACCTAGACTTTGTCAGTGTTGAGCTCCTTCTCTATGTTTGTATGACTTCTGGAATAAATTATTCAAAGGCTAGCAATGTCTCTTTCATAAAATGCTTTGGCACTATGTCCCTTCTGATTGTCTCAAGTTTCCAATGTGCTCTTGTTGAGTTCACAGCCTCTGTGTCTGTACCCAGGGACCAGTCACCTATGAGGAGGCTCGGTGTGCCCTCCAGAGAGAGTCCCTTGAAGAAATTCACCTCGGTGCTATAACACAGACATTTATTTCTAAGGCTTCTTAGGGACTCCCTGTGTAACATGTAACAGATTTTCTGATTTGGATATAAAGTGAATTTTTATTTTAAAAAAATTAAATGTCAGGCAAAATTCTCTGCCCACATAATGCTTACAGCCTCCGTATTTGGTCTAACAGGGTAACATATATCACACTGGTTTTTAGTGTGGAATGGCAGTCATCACATTGCAAGTAGAGGATATGGTTTCCTTCATAAAGCAAGCATTGTCTTCCAGAGCCAACACGAAGGCAGTGGCCACAGTCCACATTCCTTTGCCTCTGAGTTGCTGGCTTCCTTCACCACCGTGATGTAGCAGACCACTTCTCCAGGGCTCGACCCCATCATAATGTTTATACTACTGTTTCTTTATCCTTAAGTGCAGGTTTGTGAGTTTTTGTTTTGTATTCACAATCCTCTAAGTACAATCATGTTTGCATACATTGAAATGTCCTGGCCGGACTTCCTCCTCTGTAAGTGAAGAATAATTTGGACGAATGTTTCCAAGTCATGCCCTCACTGCAATGTGCCAGGCACGGGGCAAGACGCTGAAGATTCAAAGACAAAAGTCTTTGCACCTGTTATCAAGAAACGTCCTCCTACGAGAGTCAGACCCATAAAGACAGAACATTATATGCAAAATGGTGAATACCATGATAGAAGTTTCCAGATAAAATTATGGGAGTACAAGATAGACATCTCAGAAGAATCAGTCAGAGAAGGCTTCATGGAAGAGATAATGCCTGTGTAGTGGGTGAAAGAATGAATAAAGTTAAACCAGAGAAAGGAGGAGGAAGGACATTTCCATCAGAGGGAACAGAAGTTAGGGGATGGAATTCTAAGCAGTCTGTTGATGCTGGGACATGAAGGGAGTTGCCAGGAGAAATGGGAGAGAGAGTTAGTTGGGAGCCAGGTCTTGGAGCAACTGGCTGCCTGGGCTACTGGGCCAGGAGCCTCTGAAAAGATTAAACACGAGGTTGGCAGTGTCCCCTTCTTGGGTGAGCGAGAAGAGTCTCTTTCTATTCAGTTTAGATGCCCCAGAGCCAAATCCAGACGTGGCAAAAGCCAGAGTCAGCTTCACTTCCCACCGCCTCACCCCCAGCGTGCCTGCCACTTTGGCAACCCTGAGCCAGGGCGTTCTCCACTAAACAGCCCCCTGGTTCCTGCTCAGAGGCAAACCAGAGTCTGCCCAGGTGGGTGGATCCAGAGGGGAGTGTTTCCAGCCAAGGCAGCCGAGGCTACGTTCTCCTAAACCTCCAGGCTCTGCATTAAGAACTGCTCCCCCGTGGGGCTCCTGGCACAGTGGGAGTGGGTAGCAAGGTCTGGGCAAGTGAGGGTCTGCAGTGCCGTTCCAGCCACAGGAATTCAGAAGGTTGCCCTACACTGCTGGGCATTTCTTCTTGTCAGGAGCCAGGAGAGATTTAGTTTAAACCATCTGAACATGCCTCTCCTTAGGCGGATCAAGAATTTCCACACTACGTACCCTCAGCTGACCTCACATAGGAATCTGGGACTTTGGAGTCTATCCTAGACTTGGTCGCTAACTCTCTGCTGAGATCTTGGACAGATCCTTTATTACATCTTTTAGCTGCATTTAACACAGAGAAATAAAGACTGAATTTCCCGCCCCCCGCCCCCCGCCCCCAGTTGCTCTTATTGTCATCAGTAAAACTGTGGCCTTCACCCTGGGGTCAGCAAGGCCCACTGGTCCCCACATCTGCAGTTCTCTGCCTCCGGCCCACCAAGAGTGAGGACATCACACCTACAGAGGGGGAATGACACGGGGAACCGTGTATGGTTTGGGGCAACAGAGAGTAGCGTTTCCAAGGCTACCATCTGAAGTCGTGCTAGCTGCAGGCTCTGCTGTATGTACACGTCCTGATGCAGCTGGATGTCACAATGGCCCACTTGCACCAGTACCTTCCCCACAAGAGAGCTGGCACAGATGGTGTAAGTAAAGTCAGTCACCCAGCTTTAAGCCCCCCAATGGCAGAATCAGGACTTGAACTCTAGAATCTATGTGTTTCATGGCAAAACTGCTGCCTTTCTAGTAAGAAAGTAGAATGAGTTTTTTTTCTTTTTAATTTTTGTATTGGAGTATAGTTGATTTACAATGTTGTGTTAGTTTCAGGTGTACAGCAAAGTGATTCAGATATATACGTATATGCACACATATATATTCTTTTCCAGATTCTTGTTTATAGATTATTACAAGATATTGAATATAGTTCCCTGTGATATACAGTAGGTCCTTGTTGTTTACCTATTTTATATACAATAGTTTGGATCTGTTAATCCCAAACTTCTAATTTATCCCTCCTCCCTTTCCCCTTTGGTAACCATAAGTTTGTTTTCTATGTCTGGGAATCTGTTTCTGTTTTGTAAATAAGTTGATTTGTACCATTTTTTTAGATTCCACAAATAAGTGACATCCCGTGATATTTGTCTTTCTGTTTGACTTACTTCACTTACTATGATGATCTCTAGGTCCATCCATGGTGCTGCAAATGACACTATTTCATAGAATGATGATATTGATAGGAATGGGGTCGTGTCTTTCCTGCCTTGACGGGGCAGTCAGCGTCTCTCACTGCGTTCTTAACGTACTTTGCCAAAAGTAATATCAGCTCCCAGCATGGTTGAACAGGAGGATTAAGTAAGACGATCCACGTAAAGGGCTTAGCCCAGAGCCTGGGGCAGCAAGTACCCAGTTAGTGTTCACTGTCATATTTATTGAGCACCTGCTGGGTGTCCATCATTATCCTTCATACTGAAACCACTTAGAGCAGCATGGCATCTGGCTGTCTTCTCTCACCCTGGTCCTCCCAACACTACTTGATTTCCCCGGCTCGTGCATCCTGGTTCAGTGGCCGTTTGCCTTTCTTGCCTCCACTCACTCCATCACTTACTCATCTATTGATTGCTTCAGGACACTTACTGAGCCTGTTCTGTCTTCCTGGCTGTGTGCCAGGTGCTGGACCTTCATCGTGGAGGCCTGGCCTTTTTCCTAGGGTTGTGCTCACAGGCTGATGGGCAAGGCCGGCGGGGTGAGGTAGGCTACAGCTCCAGTGAGGCGTGCTGACATGGAGGGACGTGCAAGGCCCTTGAGAGCACAGGGAAGGACCCATGGGTCTCGGGAAGATGGTCAGGATAGAAGCCAACCTCCCATCAGCAACCCCTCCGGGAAGCTGTGAGCCACTTGGCAAATCATGGCTGAGCAGCTTTTCAAACTCAGAATCCAAATCCAGGATACACGGGCTTCCATGATGAGACCTGGCCTGGTCAGTGGTCGCTAAGAAAGAGAAACAAAAGTTATTTCTTCATTTTAGAACCAGAATCTAAGATTTCCCTGGTACTCTTATCACCTACTTTTGTAAGACAGTTGAGCAGTCAGAAAAACCATTTATTTATAAAACTGCCTGAAAACCTGGAGCTCCCCCATCCTTCTGAGGAACTCAGCCTTTGTCTCAAGCCTCAGGAAGTCAGGTGAAGTGTTGTTTAAATACAGTTAATGAGGAACTTCAATAACTATGCCCAGTATCTGCAGAAGAGGTCAGACGTTTTATGTTGACAAATATTAATGCAAGGCCTTCTAAATCAGTAGAAGAATTTTAAGCATCAATGCGTCCTTCTTTGGAAAGGAGGAATGGAGATTTTAAATACTCCAGACATCTGAAATTTCAATAAGCGTTGTCTTTCATGAAACGAAATTAAGCAATACAGAAGGTAAGCAATTATAATCACCTAGCTTCACCAGAACAAGTTCATTTATTCCCAAGAAACTCTGAATCACTCTCAGGGCAGCCTGCCCTCAGGGAATGTGCAAAGCCCACCAAGGCGGCTCCCCTGTTTGGAGGAAGGAGCCTGCGAAGCACAGCAGCCCAGCTTCAGAGCTTGTGAACACAGATGATGATGCTGGTGCGCTGGGCAGCACTCTGCTGGGGACTCTGGTAACCCGATGCTTTTGAAGTGACCACGGAACAGCCG